AAAAAGTTCACAGCGAGTAAAATAGACGAAGGCGACAAAGAGACCTCTGTGCACCCATTACAACCTGCACAAGGCCCGCCGGGTGCCGGCACAAAGGCAGAGCCCAAAGACTCAACGAGCAGTCCCAGGTCACAATCTGTGACTCCCGTCTCCTTTGGCATCAGATATGATCTATATCAGTGTCACCCCCAAATTGGGGGAATGCTCCCGTGCTAGCCTTCAGCTGTGAGCAGAATGTAAATGTGCATTTGACACCTTTTCTAAATCGCTGTCATAATTCATTTCCATAGCTCTTAAATCTCTCCCTGTCACCTGGCACCACTGCTGTTTTCCTGTCCAAAAACAGAGCACATTAGCCTTTATTGATGCCTTTGTCCTTTGATACATAATTCATCCTCCAGCAGCCCTTTTTTCTTTTTTTTTGCACCGATCGCGTATTCTTCCGAAGGTTGTTCACACATAAGAATTGATACAGACAAAGAGGTTGCGTCTGGTATGGAGTTAGATCTCATGCTGTATGACAGGAAACGGTAAAGTAATTTTCTCCCCTCCCAGCCTGATCTAGAGTTTCAGCGTCACGTTGCTCCTAAGTTGACCTTTTTTGCTTTAATCTATCAGCATTACAGTACTTTGGAAAGCTCACATGTGCCTCAGGTGGGATCAGATTCCTCCTGAATCCGCACAAGCAAAACATTATAAGGGGTATGATGGTTAATGCAGAGTCAAAGGGTTCGTCTGGTCGTCATCTGACATTTACCCCACCAGGCTGCATTACTTTCAAAGGAATTCAATTCCTGTTGTACACCTCAAAGAATCTTGTGCTGAAATTGAGTGTGAAATTTGTTTTGTTTTTAAACCCTAAACTCCAACAGCAACTTTGGAGGCCCACGCACGTGATGGAAGTGTAGAGGCTGACCCCAGTGGATCTATCTCGAGCCACTGTCTGGTTTGTCCCCTAGAGGCGACTGTAGAAGTAGCGCTTCACCCGCTCATTATGGATATAAATGCGTCATTCTGAGCTAACAAAGTAAAGCGTCGTTCTCATTTTTCTCAGGAAATTGTACACTAAAGAAAACACGCTTATCAATATTAGATATCCATTTCAGACCATAGAACCCCCCCAAATACACCCTGCAGCATTTACTCCCTGCCAGTAATGCAGAGTTTAAATTGGTACTGCCCCTACCACTTGTATTGCCGGTTTTGCTGTTTCTACTACACCTACTACTACTACTACTACGTCTACTGTCATTACTCCACTATCGTGTGAGGACGACACTGTAAGGTGTTTATATAATTTAAATAACTAATGTTTTGCTGTATTTATCCCAGGAGAGAAAGATAACAAAAAGAAGAGCATTTTTACACATATTAAATATATATGCAACGTTAGTTAATACCTGAAAATCAAACTGACATTTACAGAACAGGATCAAAACGAACTAAAGGGCACTAGTATTGAATCAGCACCTTCTGGATTTTGAATAAAAGAGAATTGCTGGTGAGCCAACAGTTCAGATAGCTAATATACTCCTGTCAGCCCTTTTTAAAGAGGGGGTTATTTGGTTCAGGTGTGTTTGCTTCAGGTTTAGTTAAAGAGCTCCCTGGCCTCCTTTCACCCCTCGACTGTCTCCTAGCAATCCCCCCTCCCCCCACTTTTTTTAAGTGGTCATGGACCGTTCCAGTGCATATACCACAGTGAAATGGACTTTTGCTCTTTTCTTCATTGTCACAAAAGGCCAGGCACTCCGCCGGAGTTCCCATTCCCCTTTTACATAGTGATAAGACAGCCATTATCCTTTGAACCTTTCTTTTCACCGAGCCAGGAGAAAAGGAAGAGAGAAAGAAGGAGGAGGAGGAGGAGGACACAGAAAGATTTCTTCCCTGAGGTGAGCCTGGCCTCACCTCTGTGTGGCGGGTTTTTTTGTGAGCAGTGAAGAGGTCCTTAACCTTCTATCAGATGGAGGCACACAGTTGTGTTCTGCTTGAATAACTACATTGAAAAGCCCTGAAGCACGGGAGATGGTTCTATAGACTCTGCAAGTGGCAGAGAGAGAAAGAGAGAGAGAGAGAGAGAGAGAGAGAGAGAGGGAGGGAGGGGAGACTGACTTGCTGGAGTGTGACTCTCACATGATGTGTGCATTCTTTGTTAGAGTGCCCATCAGTGCTTCACTGAGAATCTATGTTCTCTGTTGTATGGGTCTCTCTGACAGGACGGTCCTCTTCCCGATAATGTCGTAACAACACGGTTCACACATTCATATAATACGCTTCCTTCAATAGGCCTCACTTCATTTGACAAAGTAGCAGTGTTTCTGCTCTCAGGCAGTAAATGGCTTTGCAGTATATGCAATGCTATCAATATCCCAGCACAGATATTTGAATGTCATTTGCGGGTTGATGGCTGATGACGCTGAAGAGTTCACCCAGATGAAGTGATTGTAGTCAGCTGCATAACAAAACAAAATTTTGAACTCTCCACCAAATCACCGCGTGGACTCCACGAAAATTGTTACCAATCAATTGTTGGAACAACAGTTAACGCCGAGTCTTAAAGAGAACCAAATTATTTTCTGCACCCATACTGACGCATCCCTCTGCTTGCCGTTCCAGTATTACTTATATTAGATGACAGAAGTCAAAGAAGGCGATACATTGCTGTCTCATGTAAATGATCATAGGCTGTCAGCCACACTTGTCAAATTAAACGTTCTACCATATTTGGTAAACACACCATTCCATCTTCTGCTCTGCAGCACGCTGTCAGATGCGGAGACATTAAAAACAGTTTCTGGTTTTAGGAGCAGATTTCTCAAGCAAAACCAAAAGTTTTCTCACATTTCATTCCAGGACGATGTAATAACGTAATAATGTGCCGAGGAATTTGATGTAACAATTGCGGGACCGTACTGGGGAGCGCCGCCGCAACCCCTCTGCACTCCGAGTTCCAGTTATCCTCCTTCCAATCACTTTAATGCAATTTTCATTAGATCGCCTGGAGTGAAACAAAAGGTTAGCTTGTGTGACATTATGAATAAAACTGTTGCTGCAGATGATATTGCTTTGCAGCTGTATATTCGTACACTGCTTTCCCATCATACAGTCATCAGATAGCACATTTGTCAGGTACACCAGACCCCCTTTTCTATATTTGCAGCGTGTTTGTGTCAACAGAGGAAATGGCTGTTTGAAGAGAGCGGCGAGCCACAGGTTCACGCTGAGAATTTATGGACCCTATTTGTGCCGACGTCACAGCGTCACACGAGCTCCTTCCCAGTAGCACGCTGAAGTTACGCATCAAAACTGTATCGGATACCTTTTGACATTGACGAACTGTGACTGGATGCCGTTTCAGAGATGGAGAGAGAGTGATGCTTATAGCTCAGCACTCTGCTAACCGTAGCCGTTAGCCTTAGTAAATGGCTAAACCATTCGCAGCATGCTCGCTACAGCATGTTTGGACTGACTGGTTTGAGTTGCCTTGCAGTGAAAGCAGCTGCAGTAGCGGCTTTCTTTTAGTAATTCAATGATAAGACCGCAGGTTGTCTTTACTGCACAAAAAGAAATCATAATGTGCAGAAAACAGTCCTTACCGACGGTGAGGGCTTTTGCAAGTGACGCCTTAGGTAGAATGATTCAAGCAAATTGTCCCGTTTCCGGCAAATGTCACGCTGAAGACATTCCTGCGGTGTAGGATTTGATCAGCCTCACATCTGTCCACCTGCAGGCTTCGGTTCCCCACCGACCTCAGGTGCCGAGCTCAGTGTTCTCTTGCAAGGACTAACAATAACCTGTCCACCTTATAATTGGCTACTGAAATATAAATGTACCTTTCGTATGGGTTACTTCAAACAACATCCGTCGGCTATTTCCGGCTAATTTTGGAAGCGATTTCAGGAGGGCGAAAATAAAGTGCCTGTGAGGCGTGCAGTGAGTAACCGAAGTGTGCCAGCGTACTGTGTGCCAATTGTGTGGCAAGAGGGTGGCATGAACAGTGTGCCAGCGCTAGTCTGCCTGGCTGCCAGGCACTTCTCTTTATCCAATCAGACAGTTCGGCTTGAGGGAGACCCCTATTCTTGTCTCCGAAGCTTTATCACCCTGAAAAGCGGGTTAGTACCCCCCCCCCCCCCCCCCGGTACACCGTTACACTTCATAACCGGAGAGTGAATGGCGCAGGCTGTCTTTCTTTCCGTCCGCTGCTGTCCCTCCCTTTGTTTCTCTTGTTGTTGTTTTTGTGCTTCCAAGACCAAATCACAGGCAAAACGGGCGTGCTTCGATCTGCTTTGTGCTTTTGTATGGACTAGGTGTTATTATATATATATATATATATATATATATATATATATATATATATATATTATATTATATATATATATTATATTATATAATAATATATTGATATAATGATATCAGTCAGAGTACGTCCTAGAGATCCATTTTCATCAGGGATGGGTGAAGAAACAAAAAAAACTGCTGTCTGTCTGTGTGTGGTTTCATTGGACATGATGAGGGATGATATTATGGTGGATGCTGCCGCCGTCGCCGCTGCGAGATGAGGAGGGGATCCCATTTGTCTCCAGCTCGCTTAGCGTAATGTGTCTGTCACTCTCCTCGGACCGGACGTTGGTGTTCATCAGAATAAACATATTGTCCGCACAGTCCTCCTGCTTCTTTTTCAGCCTCTTGTCATCATCGTTAATTTTTTGCCACTTTTTCCCCCCTCGCGTCTTTGCCACATCTCATCCAGAATGTGATTGAAAGCCACAGAGATTGCTGAAATTCATCAACATTACGTGCTGCGGACAGGAAAAAGGAACTGGTAGCCCGACAATAACCCTGCGAAACGCAGAGTGATTATGTAGGAGAGAGGTGCTCAGAAAGAAATAAGTGTAAGGCAGCGGGAGTTTAGATTCTAAGAATAATTACAGTGGGAAGAATGAGACGTGACTCATTGGGGAAAAGATGAAGCTTAATGTCGGTGCTTTTCTTGTGTCTTCCAGGTCGACGATGCCATGCTTATGTTTGATAAGACAACTAACAGACATAGAGGTAAGTGCAAAGTGTCCACTCTCTTTACTCCTTTTTCTGTGAGGGGGGGCGATTCTATTTTTCTATTTTTTTAGGGGGGGGGGCAATTTTCTGAAAGGTGAGAAAATAGTCATTTTATGTCCTTTCCCCATGAGATAACACAGAACAGTTCCAATCTTACATGATATTAGGTGTACCATCTGCTCAACAATGGGAGCGTGTCAAAGTAATCAATAAACTGGCGTGGTGTTTAGAATGTTTGAGCGTTTGCGTGTGTGTGTGTGTGTTTGCGTGTGTGTGATGGCGATGCTGGTGTGAGTGCCTCAGAGAGGTGCTTAAAGGGTGTAAAGATTGTGAGATGGTGGGTGCTGTTCAGTCAGATAACGGCATCAGATAAGGCCCGGGAAAAGCATTGACTTTATCGGCGTCTCTCATCGGCTCCTTATCTGAGATGAGGGGGACGTTTGTCTCTCATGCAGAGGACTTTCCAAAGACAGACCCCCCCCTCCGCCCCCCCTCTCTCCCCCGCCCTGCGCCCCCACGACAATGCAGCCGTGTGCGTTTGAGCCAAGCCGGCGAGGCCCACGCGGGGGCTGTCACTTAGCCTGAGCCGCGTGCGTGCGTGTGCGCGCCGGCGGGCGGCTGTTATTGGCGACGCGTCCTCACGTCGGTACGTTAGAGGAACTTTTAGGAGACAGGCTGTCCCCGGCTGTGTGCGTGTGCGAGCAGTCGACAGGCACTGACAGGTATTTTCCACGAGAGAAAGGAGCCGAGACTCCTCTCTGTTTTGTCACAGCAGTCAGCTGGCTTATAGGCAGAGTCGTCACCGCAACGCCTCAGCCGAGCGCTGTGCCCCCCCACACACACACACACACACACACGCACACACCTTGTCCCCCCCAACACACACACACAAACACATATGTGAACATCCGTTTGCAGCGAGCGACACGCCTTAAATGTTTCAGTGCAGTCGGCTCGAATCGTAAGATTTAATGTTTTATTTTTCAACCCCCCCCCTTTTCTGTAGTGTTTGTGTGTGTGTGTGTGCGCGTGTCTGTGTGTGTGTCCGCTGTGCAGACAAACTCTTTGCGTCTGGTAAACAGTTTCTAAGTGTGTAACATGTGAACTGTAGTGGAAGTGATCTCTGGCTTTAAGAGGATTTTGATCCGTAGTGGCAGAACGCAGTCTGAGGTCTGCTTTAGGTGAGTTTTTCTCCTTTTCTATCTCTCTCTCTCCCTCTCTCTCTCTCTCTCTCTCTCTCCCTCTCTCTCCCTCCCTGCTGCACCGCTGGCCCTCTGTGAAAGGGGGTGGGCGCTGCGCTCAGGGAGTGTGTTAGTCGTTTGCCTTTGGGCGGCAAAATGTCCTTCAAATGAAGACAATGATGGAGGAACAGCCTCCTTGGCAATTTTCCTGATAATAGCGGACGTATTTATATTGAGTGTGACACTGAGGCGGGATGCAGGGACAGGCGCTTCCTGCTGTTGCTGTTTCTTCCTACTAGCATTTTGATATTTGCTGCTGACAGGTCTTCAAGATGAATTGCATTGGATATTACTGAGCCATAAGAAAAACTAAATAATTGATCAGAGCCATTGGTGTGAAAGTGTAATATTAATGTCTCAGCTGCCCTGAGACCACAACGGAAAGGACATTGAATATATAATCGGTGAAACCAGTGCCTGCGCCTGCTTTACCTCTGCCTACAGCCAAGCTAATGGGGATCTGGCAGGCCGGCCCTCCAAATCAATTTCCCACTTGTGTTCATTTTTATCTTTCTAATACAACCATGAAAAAATAATTCTGGATTTTTCTGCAGCACTGCAATAGATAAAAAACACAATGCCATTCTTTGAGAAATAAAACAGAACACCGGGCCCACACCATGATTTCAAGTCAAGAAAATAGTTCACTTTGTAGCTCTAAAACGGGGATTCCCACACTTTTTCGGCTCACAGGCTACTTTTTAATCTCATGGCCTCTCATCCGTCGGAAGTGAGGGAACTGTCACAACCCTTCCATACATTTTTGGTCATTACCGTACTCAGATGTCTTGAACAGATTGGAGTCAGCCAGGGTTGCTTTTGAATTAACTCAAATGTGTCCGTTCGTAAGCACGGATCGCTAATTAGTCCTACCAAGTATTCCGTTGGCTCCCGCGCTCGACCGTGCATGCGTGGTTTTTCCAATGGCAGGCGATCTACCGGCACCGCGATCGACCTATTGGGCACTCCTGCTCTAATAGCTTGGAGAGCACAGCAGGATACAGCTTTTTTCTAATAACATCCATATGCATTTGGATTTGCAAACGAATTGATCCTGAAAGCCTGAAGCAGAACAACAGCCTGACATTTCCTTTTAAGGTTATTAAAAATATTGATACTTTGAGCCTTTTTTGACGCCAACGACTCAACCCTCATTCATTTACCATTCGATTGCATTGAAAGCGCAGAAGCTATAAGAAGTAAACCGATCTACGATCATATTTTCAACCTGAGGCTGCACGTGACAGCGTTGTCTCCAGCCGGGCTCGACAGTGGAAGACACCTCTGGGCTCAGACGACACACCTGCAGATAACACACCAGTGACCATGTTGTTTTAATAGAAAAAAAAGGCCAATTTTGACATCCAACTTTATTTTTTTACCCTATTTTCCATGGCATCGGGAGAAGTACCGAGCATCATTTGTCATAGTAATATCAAATTGAAGTTTAAAAATCACAAACATGCTTGCAAGTCTTTTGTGAAAAACCAAATTGAGCTTTAAGTGGCTTTTTTTTGCTGAGACAAACAGACAAGAAAGAAAACAAATGCGATCGCCGGGTGTCTGAGGTAGAATCACAGCAGCTAAATGCGATCTCTTGTTAGGCTTCCTGTGGCACACACTGACTTCACATCTCCTCATTTGAATGTTATCTTCGCTGCCTTTTTTTATCCCATTAAGCTTCTTTTAGCTTTTTACACAGCGGCTGTATTGTATATTACTATAATGCATTGCAGTTTCTCCGGAAGACTTTATTGTGTATGAGATGCATGATCGACACTTTATTGTAAGCGTGTTTTCTTTGGGGCTGTGGTGAATTGGATAGAGGACAAACGTCACACTCCACCAGTAGCAGCATTGTCCTTCAGAAGGTCCCTGCGAGGCGGGAGGAAACGACAGCCAGAGGAGTCGTCCTTCTCCTTTAGCTCTCTGCTTTTCCTTTCTTCATTTTTTTTTTCCACTCTCCATCTTGCTGGGCCATTCAGTCTTATTCTTTCTTCCTTTTCATTTACACAGTCATTCACACTATTTCTGTCCGCCTCTCTCCGTCTCTCCGTCGGTGCCTGTGTCGGTCTGTCTCTCCTGCTAGAGGACACTGGCTATAAGCAAAGCTCCTCACAAAGGCTGCACACCATCTCCTTGGCATTTAAAGGAGTTGAATACGGCCAATTGTGTTGGAAATTGAACTCTCTAAAGCCTCCCTTCCCACTGCAGCAGTTCATTGTGGGTGAGTTCAGTGTCTTTGGTGAGCAGCGTGGGCTGTCCAGAGGTTGATGCCAGAGGGCGCCTATTGTTCCGTGGTCCACCGCAGTGTCCGTCCTCCTCCCCACAGCACCACCTCCCATCAACCTCGCCTTTTCTCTCCCCTGACACTTATTCTGTGACAGAAAAGAGAAAAACAGGAACTTGTGCGCTTGTGTCTCGCCGTTGTTCTCTAAAAGTTTTGGTTCCTGCCGCAGCGCCGGAGGTCCAGACCACAGCGCCTGCTCCAAAACACAGGCGGGAAATGAGGCCTTGACCCCGGCAGTCACGAGTGATGCGTTCCTGCCGTCAGTCCCATCAACGTGGCTTCGCATGCCACCACCTGGATGACAGCACAAGCTCCACAGGCGGGAAACGGAGGCCTCCGGACAAGCTCTGAGACACAATCCTTTCCGTTTAAGTTGCCTACCCCGGTCCTTCGGGCTAAAATCTGATTTATGATCTGATGTTTTTTGTTTTTTTTTACTGCCAAACGTAATTGGTGGAGCCGCCGAGAGTGTCGCATACGTGAGCCGACCGGCTGCTCTTAGAAGAGGTGCGGAGGACCTCGATGAAAGAGCGGCGGACTGTGGTTATCCGCTGGATGCATCGGGGGTTTAACGTGCAAGTTAAAGGCACACAAGATGATGGATGGATTCCTTGTCTTGCTGCTCGCACGCATCCTTCATTAAGTCCACACCATAATTAGCCCCGGTTCCACAGCACATTACCGCTCTGCCCGTCACCGTCGTCCACATAACTCCCCACACATAATCCACAGCATGGCCTACACATACTCTCCTCCCGATTTGATCATTCTCCAGCAGTTTCCCCTGCGTAATCCGCACCAATCCCTAAAAAGGTCAGTGTATACAATGCAAATGAGCGTAAAAGCCAAAATACACTCTTCCGATCATAAGCTGCTGATTAATTGGGTCAAAACGGAACACCACAGTTGCTGCTTGTTTGATTTCCTAGCTTAAATTAGTGGGATCCCCGCAGTTTTCATCAAGTTTTGGGTTTTCCGCAAGTTTTTGGGTTAATCACTGTGCCTTCAAATATGGACGGTGACACCTTTTATGTATTTCCTGTGACACACACGTTCTCTTTACCTTTTCTTAATTACACCATTAAGGAGCGCTGATGAAATCCATGGGTAACTTTCTTTCATATTGTTTTACATAGTTTGTACCCAGACGGCACCCATTAGCGTGGCTTTGTAATGACTGTGTGACTGATCGCGAGCCAAATTCCTTCTTTATTTGAATGATGCAAGTAATAGTAACGTGCAATAGTGTTGGAGACCCGAATGAAGGAGTGCGACTAAAACTAAACTAAAAAAATTGTTTTGGTCGCAAAGGCGGCCTTTGTTTGTGAGAGCCCAATGAGCGAGGCCTGCATTCGTGCAAGACGTGTTCCTGGAGAACGGGATATCTTTGTTGTTTTTTTATTTATTTTTTGCCCAAGCACGAGGCCAAGGCTGTGTGAATTTGTGTATAGCCCCCTTCTTCTTCT